TGGAAAGTGTGATGTCTTTGAACAAGCCAATAAAACCCCTCCCAAAAAAAACAAGAAAGAGAGAATAATCACAGTAACGGAATTTTCAAAGCAGAATCAAACTTACCCTCGACCATCCCAGAAAACTCTTCTCATTCTTCATCTCAATCGCTTCCTTCTCCTCCACCGGCAATTCCTCGAAAAACCTCCGACACTCGCTAACCACACGCTGCACCAAGGCCTCGGGCAAGCCCGTCTCGCTCAAGTACAAGAATCCCACGTGCAGCAGCGCTGACCGCAGGTCGGCTAGGAACTGGGGTTTCGTATCTGGCGAGAGCGCGGCGCTGAGGGGCAGGATTGGGATTTGGGAGAAGGCTTGTTGGTGGTGGTGTTGGGGGGAGGAGGAGGAGGGGCGTGGGGGTGACATGGCTGGGGTAGGTTGGAGGTACACGGCTGAGATGATGGTTTGTATTAAATCTGATGGATGAGGTTGCTTTGTCGTTTGTTGCTAACTTCTTTTTTTTTCTTTCTTTATGGTGGTGGGAGGCGGATTTTTTCCTCGTGGGTATCACACCACTGCTGGGCTGAGCTGAGCTGGCGGGCAAAGCACGTCGCTGTGTCGAGGTGTTGCGTGCTGCGGGGTAAATTCGGAGAGAGGGCGCGGGTTTGGTGAGGCTGGGTGGGTTACGCAACCGTGACTGGCTTTGCCTTGGTTTGGCGGGGCCTGGTTTGGCAACGTCGGTGATTGCTCTTCGTCTCTCCTTTTTTTGGGGGGAGTGTTTTACTTTCTGTGGGGGGTTTTTTTTTGGTGTATGCTTCTTTTGGATTAAGTTTGTCTAGATTTGATAACGTGCTTTCCATGCGAGTGCTAGACCGAGGGCTGTGAGTTTCAAGCTGCCAACGACGATGAGACTTAGGGCGGCTTCGAGGACCATGGTTGAACGTTGGTCTTTGAGTATTTTGGGTTTGGGCAAAGAGGGCAAGTTTGCTGGATATGCAGAGTATGTGGGTTTGTACTTTGAGAGGAAGTACTACATGTAAAAGAAGCTTCTTTATCAGTCCAACTCAACCCCCGAAAGAAGCTTCGGGATTTATATCGTCGTGTGTACAATCTTTCCGTCGACAAGTCCAACTACACCGCACTATTGATGCAGAAATCCCGTTGTTTGCGTCGTGCGACCTCATCAGAAGATGACGGCGTGCCGTCGCCACTATTGTTGGACAATCGAGAGTGTGGAGTGAGGCGGCCACGAGATCCACTTGTCTCCAATCCACTGCGTTTGATCCAGTCTGGAGCAACTCTCTTCCCAACGAGATTACATCTTCACAACTACCGTTGGTCGCCTTACAATCTCGCCTACTCTCTTGATCCCTACAGTCGACATCATCCAGCACGCGTCATGAGGTGCGGGGTCGTCGCGTGCCATAGCCGTTGGGCTTCTACAGACTACGCGGCTTGCATGATACGGTGAAACCGCGTGGAAGATGCCTGCTGGACGCCGGAAGGAAGAGCTCGAGACGAATAGAGGCTGCACAATCTCAAGTACGATACGTCCGTATCACGCATACGGGTTTACACGATAAACCCGTAATTGGGTCGGAATGAGGCTGTTGTGCAGGTGTAGCGATTGGCCAGAAGAGTCACGTGGTGATTGATGTGCAATACGCGCACCATCCAGGAACCTAATTCAAGCCAGGGCCTCGCCAAACAAGCACATGCGATAAGACGTTAATTTCATCTCATGCATATGCAAGATGAGGCGCACTTCAAGACCCCTAAACTTGTCTCCAAACCTAAAACTGGGCACATTGACTGTCTCCAAGGCCCTTCTTCACATGACGCCGCAGCTGGAGGCCCTGCAGCTAAGATTTCGGCACGTTATCCCACGACAACAAGGGCTTGCTTCACCGACACCGAAATATCTCCACTTATTCTCCCTTAGCCCCGACCAGCGACCCACTGCGATAGTGACCCGTGCAAGTTACCAAGTTGCCCTCTGTGGCATTTCGCGACAAGCGCTAGAAACACTTGTTTAAGAAAAGACAACCCTTTCGATATTAACAGAGTAACGCCGAAAGAACAGATCAATATATTTACTAAGCCCCTAGACCCATCCACCCTCCACCCCCTACCTTCCAGTCCAAGACGGTACCCACACCTCGCAATAGTACCCACATCTTTCCTAGAACGTTGACGTGCATACATTGATGTTACAATCTTGCCATCGGGAAACTTTACCTGCAAACGGGCAAGGCCTAAAGGCGCGCTCCTTTCCATGTACGTCTGGCCAATGCGAGATACGACCAACGGGAAAAAGCAAGCAGATAGCCGACTGCGCCACATGCATCATTACACTCGGAGCCTACGACAACAAGTGCAAGAAGAAGACGCCAAAAAAGCAAAAACAGAAAGACAGCAAAACTTACGCGATCCCTGACCCGGAGCTTTGCCATGGCCCCCCGCCACCCACCCCACCCCTTGACCCTGCCAGCGTTACAGTCTATGCATGGACAAGGGTTACGTGATGTGTCAAAAGGATAACTCTGTCTGCCTATGTGGCTCAGGGAGGAAAAGAGTGCAAAGAGTGCGCAAGCGCACGCCCGTCGCAGATCGTTGCAGGCGGAAAAGAAGCCTACCATGCAAAGCCGCCATCCACCCATGCAAGACCTTGCATGCTCGCGCAAAGGCAATAAAAAAGAGAGGTAGGCACCGTCACGATAGTATTAGTCCTTTGTCCGCAAGGTGTCTTGTCTTGTCCCCCTTGCTAGACGCACACAAGCACGTTCGCTTACCTAAAACAAGTGTGCTGCGATGTCGGGGCTCCCGACTGCCGCGCGCAAGGGTGCTTGTTCGAACTAAATCAATCAATCAGACAAGAAGGCGCCCTTTTCCTCTCTCTCTCTCATCAGAGATGAACATGGGTATATGGGGAAGTGATGGGGGGAACTGGGGGGTGTCTGTGTGCCCCCCCTAACCCTACCCTACCCTTCACAGTAATATGCTTACATACCTTCGCACCAACCTCTCGCACCAACCAACTTTTACACTCAAAATTGGCAAATGGCTAGGGTATGTGCGTGGGTGTGGGTAGGGGTTTATAGGACCAGGAGGAAAACACGAGACATGGGAGAATTGATCAGATAGAGAAAAAGATCATGATAAAGAGCTGGGTTGATACACAGCTTCATTTGCCTATACTACGAAAGACTCTCTCTACATACTTTTCCCCCCCAAAAAGTAAAAACGCTTTAAAATTTCAACCCATTTGCCATTCTCAGCGTTTTGCGCAAAAAAGGTCAGTCGTCGTCGTCGTCGGTCCCCACTTATCGGAAGAAAAGCAACCTCAGAAATAGGGTAGTTTCCGCATGGACCCGGGCCCCAAGGTGGCCGCTTGCGTCGTCCTCGTCGACATATCACGAGAGTTTGTGATAGTTAGCCGGGAAAAAAAATTAGTCTTACTGTGTACATTTCGCAATTCGGGCGGTAAGTGGGTCCCCGCTGGGAAGGGAGAGAGACCGGTGATGGTCAAAGCAGAGCAGAGCAGGCCAAGCAATAGAGAACGGAGAGTTGAGAAAGAGAGAGAGAGCACGATAACATGGGTATATGTGTGGCCCACCGACCCACATCCCCACTCTTTTTTCCCTTTTTCCCTCTTCTTTCTTGTTGTCTTGTGTCTAAAGTTACCCTTTCCATCGGAACAAGCCAGACATGCTTGTCTTGGGAAAACGGTTATAATAAAATGTAGGCGCATAGTTATGGGTCTCTCTCTCGCGCGCATGTGTGGATGCGTATGTGGGTGTACTTACTGATACGTAAGTGCCGCGTCGGGTATGACCCTCGAGACGGCAAGAGGCGCCGGTTCGGGCCTGCTCCTTGCCCTTGTTCTTCCCACCCCCATCGCTTGCGGGGGCGGACGATGCGGATGCACGGGGTTTGCTTGGTGCTGGTCGCGGGTTACAAGCATACGACATGTACGCTACTTTTGTTGTTATATGAGACCGTTTTATTAACGAACCGTTTTTTGTCAATATCCGTGTCTGCTGTTTGAGGTACTGGGGTGCACCCCCCTAGTTGGGGTAGTAAGATGTGGTAGTAGCTTGTTCTTCTGAGCGACCCTTCTTTTTGTTTTTGGAATTCTCCTGTTAAAGCGTGATGGGGGGGGTAGGTGCTATAAGCATAAGTGCTATAATAGGACTTTTGACCGTTGAGATAGGTGGTACAGACAGGCATTAACCCTGGCCCCCTTGATCGTCGCCTTTCTCTCTGTACTACATATGTATGGACGGTCTCCACTGCTACGGGCCTTTTTCTGCTGCCTGCCGTTACTCGTGCTGTGTTTCGAGTTTGTTATAAATGCGCCATTAGCAGAGAGTAATGGATACGATATTGTTTTGATGACATATCGCTTCATGTCAGGTCGAGTAGATGTCGTTGATTTGTCCTATGCAGGAGCCCTTGTAGATATTTCGGCTGCTGTCAGCCATGTCATGTGTTGTTGATACAGTGTTTGAGTTATATCTCTTGCCTCAGCCCTGGGGCAGGTGATAAAACGATCTCAGGTGCATTTACATACTGAGTAATTCCCCCGACAATCGAAGCATAAGGTTAGTGTACCTGGCTTTTAACTTGCATGTAGAGAGAATACAGTGGCAGGGAATGGCTGGTATACGTAGCCTATGCAAGTACCAAGATGCAGTGTAACATCACATGACCAAACCGCTCATTCGTTCACACAGACAAACCACAAAATACACACAAGCACAAGTGTTCACTTTTTCTTCAACGGAGAACTTGACTCATATTGACCTTTAATAGTTGATCCTGAAAGAAAAAACCCTCAGAGACAAAGGACCAGCAAAACCTCTGGTACTTCCCCCAACAAGACCAACCACATCATGATAAACCATTGCAAAATCCATTTCCTCCCCTCCCATCCTCCCCTAAAACATCCTCAAGTCCACCTCGTCAGCCAAGCCCACGTTTTCCCCCCATCTACTCCATGAAGAAAAGAAAAATCCCTTTAGATGTTGCAGCTTCCATCATCAATACAAGCACCACCATCAGCACAGCAATCGCACGCCTCGAGATCTCCACCAGTACCGCATCCAAAAGTGCAGATGGTACAAGCAGCAGACTGGCCTCGCTTCTCCATGGCGGCGATCTCAGCAGTGAGTTCCAAGGCGCGCTTCGAGTGGCTGAAGGTTGCGACGCCGGGTTGGATGGGGGCGCGCGCGGCGAGGGTTGCTGCCGAGGTGGAGATGGCGAAGAGGGTTGCGGCGAGGATGGTGGTGACTGTGTGATGTTAGATTGTGGAGGTGATTGAGGAGAGGAGAAAGGGGAGGCGTACACTGCATGGTGATGGTAGTTAGTGGGAAGTTGATTGATTGATTGTTGTGGTAAAAAAGCCTTGTTCTTGACAGGTAATCGGTAGTATTGAAAGAGTTGCTGAAAGCTGAACTGATGATTGTAGTAAAGTATGTCGTAGTGATGATATTCCTCAATTCATCCGCCATCTTCCTTCCTTTCTATACTTTGCCCAAATTGCACTGAGCAGATTAGTTCGCAGTGGTAGCATTGACGCTATACTCTTGTGCTTTGATGGCACAGAGGCTGCTGTTACCTAGCGGTTTGACTGGCACAGCGAGTTTGCCTCTGTAGCGTCAGCGCGCGGTTGCGCAAAAGGCAGAAGCGTTGTCACGAGTATGCCTTGTCACAAGTACTACTGTCTTGTCACGATGCCTTGGCCTGCTAGCTTAGTCAATGCGTGCTAAGCAACCTGTTCGACGTCCAGGTGCACTGAGCTTGTCATTAAGGTTATTTGTCGCATGTTATCGAACAAAAAAGGGTGATTCAAACGTCGAATAGAGCAAATTGGTAGTGTATTTGCAAAAGAATTGTCTTGTATCAAATGCATTTATGCACTAAAAATTTCTGTAGTACCACTTTGAGTGCATCGACTACAATGGTTTTGCACTGTTTTTTATCGACTCAAAATAGAAATTGTTGTTCCAAATACTCATACATGTTCCAGCACATGTCACATGTGGTAGTGGTTATATGCACGACACCAGAACTGGTTGCAAATGGATCTTGGCGTGGGCTGTTATCCCCGTAAGTTCGCTGTTTCGACTGGGATGACGTGATACAATCCAACGTGGTTCACGTCAAGGAGACTTGTGTCATCACTTACTATAGCACGATCAACAATCTCTTCTGCGGTCAGGCGGATATTTTCGATCTCTTGTTGTCCTGTCTAATAAGTCACTTCGAACAGGAGATGTGCTAAGGTTTGAGCCTTAGATTTGTGCATGGCAATAATGTATCGTCAGCTAACAAGCGACACGTGCCCTCCTCACCATGGTTTACACTTAGCATTAGTTGGCTACAAGTAATGCATGCGGTCTTCATTGCGACCATTATAAGCAATGCGCGCTCTACATACAACAGAAGTAACCGATAAATCCCCCCCTTATTTTCCCTCACCTTACTGCTAGAAGCCTCGATCGTAGACAGTTCACCATACCATCCCCTCCTGTGTGTTTCTTCAACATCTATGTACATCCCACGAGGAAGCTCACAAAGTGGTCAGTTCACATTTGTGTGGCGGTTGAATGGTATGCTAACGTCTTTACAAAAACTCCAAGTCAAAACTTGATATCACCAATACAGATGTGGGGGTCCACATCGAGGCAGCAGCTGGGATACACAGACGAATACATGGGCAACCGTTGATCTGGCACTCGTGAATGCTATTGAGATAAGTAAAAGTCATTACTTCCTCTGAACCATATGAATTGCTACACTAATACCTAAGCAGATTAAAAACCAACTTGAACGTATAATCTTATCAATCGAATGCCGCCCTGTATATCATGCTGATAACCAGTATCGTAATCTCATTTCTCGTGAAACCTGTGTACATAGACCGGCTATTGGGTATCTACCTCTTCTCGTTCGGGTAATATGCTGGCTGTCCCTCAAGCGACTCGCCAACACCAGTACGGTAGCTCGGTGGTGGTCCACCAAAGGAAACTTGCCCGCCAGGCGTAGGGGTAGAGGACTGGTTGGGAGGGGCGACTGTGTTGGTGGTTGCGTACTGATACTGCGACTTCATGTCGTTGTCAATCTCACCTCCATCACCACCTCCTACCATGACGGTTTGCTCGTTGCCCTTCTTGTCCTTGACCTTGCCGACGACCATACCCTTGGCAACAGACTTGATGATAGCCTTTCTGCTGACGCCGGTGACATCGATATATACGAGGCCAACGTTCTTGACACCGCCGGCAAGATTGCTAGTAATTGATCCCGCCTCTGCGCCATACTTGTGTCCAACAGCAGCACTAGCAGCAGCACCACCGCTAGTGAGAATCTGCCTACCGGAATGCGAGATACCATCGGCAACGGTTGAAAAGGCGATTAAGCTCTTATTCAGTAGACCGGGCTTGTAGTTTGCATTTGGTGTGCCGTCAGGGTTGACGCTTTTGGCATGCGTCTTCTTATGTCCCGCCATGCCTGCTGCTGCGTTTTGGGCATACTTTGTGATTTGGCCAACAGTCTTGGCTGAGTAGCCAGCAACACCAGTGGTGAAGGTGTTGATCTTGCGGGCACGCTCATGGGTAGCGGGCTTGAAGACCATGGGCTTCTCATTTGGCCTTGTCTTGTTTATAAAGTTCTCTGCACCAGACACCATGAGGTTGCTAAGGTAGCTGGAGCCTGTAACGACAAGTCGCGACGCTGCGGCGGCGTTTTGCACCAGGCCAGAGTCCTTGTATGCGGGATGACGGGCCATGTCAAGGTAATCTTCGTCGAGGGGCCTGATGTCAATACGCTTGCCATCTGGAGATACCACAATCTCGACGGGATCTTTATCTGTGTTAGTATGAGTGAGGAACGCGCTGCAAACAACACTGAGTGACTTACTCTTGGACCCTTGCTTGATTGCTGGATCAGCATGGACTTGCGCACCCTCGGCCAGCTCGCCTACGATGCTGCCGTTTTCCTCGTCTACCAAGACAACCTCACCCTGGCCACCAGAGCTTGCGTAGCCCTCGCCAGGCCTGTAGTTTTGAGGGTTGTATGCCTTGACATCACCCTTGCCCTTCTCGTGTGATGGCGCTTGCGCACGCTCGAGGAAGGCTGTGCACTGCGCCAAGATAGTCTCGAACGTGTCAATATCTTCTTGCGTGACGGAATTGGAACCCTTGCCAATCGGCGGGAACTCAATGCGCGTGAAGGCGTGGCTGTCTGGACCCAGATCCCATCGCGGTATGAGGTAGCTTCGCGGCGGCTGGTGGTAAATCTGCGTCGTCGCAGGGAGAGGGAGGTCAAGCTCGGGAGGGAGATTAAGGTGTAGGTAAAAGTCTTCTTCGTTCTGGCCGCGCGCGCCGCTGTCTGCAAAGGGCGAGTTTGTAGGCACCATCAATAGTGACAGTGTCTGTGGCCCAGAGGGAGTCAGGGAAGTCTCCTCACCCTGCTGGATGTGGTAGGCCTTGATGCCTCCAATCGTGTAGAGTAATCGAGGATCGCCATGGCTGCTCATGCTTGCGAGGGGAGTACTCTTGCGAGGATTCGGTGTGGGTTGGTGTTGGGGGAGAGAAGGATATGGAGAAGCTGCAGGGCGGCTATTTCTAAGGAATTAGGTAGGAAAGAGGGGGTATCGTCTATTTTGGGGCACGAGGACAGAATGACGGCCTTTTTATGGAATGCAAGCGGCAGGGAGTCGAGTGCCTAGCTTGCCGCAACTGGTGTTGCGGCGCCTCCTGGGCGGTTACGTCAAGAGGGTGGCGGCATAAAGGCCCAGAGCATCAGCGAATCACACTCCCTGTGGCTGAGCTGCTGCGCCACTCTGTACTCTGCCCTCACCCGCGGCCACTCCGCATTCTCGTAATTCCTGAGTGAATGCCAATATACCCACGCCTGTCTAGCCGTCTCCTTACAATTCTCCCAACGAGTTCGCCCCTTCACATGCAACATGTTCATCTGATTGTCACTGTAGTATCGGTTAGCTGACGTCTCTGGACGCGTCACATCCAGTCTCTCCCTTCCAACACTTGGTGGCGCAGCAAGTCATCGCGGCCCAAGTCCTCGTCTAGCTTCTCCAACATCGTGCACATCATTCGTGCACATCTCCTGTATATGTATTGTCGACACGCGCGACTTCTTTTGATTCGTTGTTCTACTCGCACCTGGCCTGCTCGACGTCCCTATAGCCGTCTTTTCAAGTTTCGAGTTCACAACCTTATCTACTTACCACGTGTATCCCTACCTCAAGCATTGATCAACGAAAGATGTAGCATGGGTCAAGGCAGAAACTCGTCACGTGTAAGGGCTGCCAAGCGTAGGTTTGAAAAGTGTCCGCTACAACGTAGCGCTTATGACTGCGTCCAATACAATACACGATAAGAGTTCATTGCCAAATGCGTAGGAGCACATTGCCCCTCTCTTCCTGCACAGAACCATGAATATCCTGCCATGCACCCTCAGCTTCACCCTCAGCGACAGTATAAATCAACAGCATCGTCAGACAGCGTATGACTCCCGCCCGCACACCTATACCCACTGGCCTGCTTGATCCACATGTAGCCAGCTGGACACGGTCCCAACATGCGCAGCTTGCTCTGCCTCTCCTTCTCCTTCTGCCGCTTCCTCTCAATCGCTGCCAATTCTTCGTCACGACGTCTTCTCTCCAGCTCAGCTGCGATGCGCGCTTGTTCCCTTGCACGTCGCTCCTGCTCGTCAGCAGCAGCTTTTTCCGCGCGGATAAACTCCCTGATGCGTTCCTCCTCTTTACGCTTCTCTTCTTGCAGGCGACGAAACTCTTCTTCTTTCGCAACCATGGCTTGCTTATCGCGCTCAAGTTGTTCCCAGTCTTCGTCAGACACTCCTGGATCGCGCTTGGCCTTGAATATGGAATAAAGATCATCTTCGGGTTGAGTTGCGGGCTCAGGTTTCTTCTCCTCTGGTTTTGGTGCATCCTTTTGCGGTTCAGGTTTCTTCCCGGCGGGTGGTGGCGCTGGGGGAGGTGCCGATCTAGAGTCTGTACCAACGTTCGGATCTGATGGACCTGGTGGACTGGCACCATGCGATTGTGGTTGGTACGCTGGTCGCAAATTTGGTTGTTTCGCAAAACGACTGGTGCCTGCGGCAGCATTGCGTTTAGAACGCTCAGCGAGCATTGCTTCCATCTCATTGACAACAATGCTTTCAGTCAAGACAAGACTAGTGATGGGAGGAATAGCTGTCGAAATCAGTCGCTGGAACATGCTCTTAGCAAGAGATTTCACGTCGCGAGCGTTGCCCCACGACTCCAGGACCGACAACTTTCTAAAGAGCTCTAGCAACTGTTTTCTCAATTTCTCCGAAGGGGGATCGATGACAGAGATGTCGAGTGGCGCCTTCTGTTTCCTCTGGAAGTCGCCGAGCACCTTGTTCAGTAGCTCAAAGCAAGTAGCTGGCTCCAGATGCTTGAACACAACGGTTTCAGAGAAACGACTGGTAAGGCCAGGATTCA